AGATACACATGAGAGTCCGCCAAGATGAATGTTTCATAGGCACGATTAATTAGGTTTTCTGGTAATACTATCCTAATTGAAAAGAGTCAGTCGACTCTCACCCCCAATCATCCCCATGGCGCAAATCGCAAATCGCATGGATTACCAATAATTGCGGCAACAAATACGTCGTCGCCGAACCGAGCCGTGTCCCTGTTACGGACATAGTCTACTTGTTTTTTTTTCCCCTTAACCTTTGTTTTGTTGCTTTTTCTCTCTCGAGTAATTAGGAAAGCCCTAGCCCTAGGTAGATGGTGCATCTTCTGCCGGCTTTTAAAATGACGGCACTCTTGTTTTGAATGCTAAGAAAGGGGAGGAAGGCGTATGAATCCCAAGTCTGCCTGATCTAGTGGCGACCTTTCGTTCAATGTCTCATAATGCACTATTTGTGAAGAGAAGGAAGTAAGAATAACAGAGGAGAATAATACAGTAGGGAATGAATATCTCGGTGTTAAAATACAGTTCCGTCTGAGTCGATCAGGATGGGCGGTTCTCTCGTGTTAGGTCGGCTAACTTCTGCGATCTCGCGGCCCCCCTATAGGTATCAATGTTAGTTCGCCAGATTTGAGGGATTCCAGGGTTAGACTCGATGGCCGTGTTGCTATCTTGTCATAATACAGCTTACCTTCCAGCTTCCGGCCTCGAGCAGTTGCGCTAACGTGAGCTCGCCGCCATTAAGCTCCTTTCTAAGAGACTTGTTGACCTCAACCAGGAGTTTGTCGAGGAAGCCCACGGTGACACCTCTCCACTCAACAATCACATCGTCGCTCGGTTCGAACATAGGCGCTACCTCGACACCCTTCGTGTTCGTCCGTCGGCAGTGATCGTTGTAGTTCTCAAGGCCACGGTCGAGCTCATCTTGCTTGAGCGTTAGAACGCCGAGATCGATGAACAGACCTCCATTTCTGTATTCGGGCAGCCCCGTCAGCAGTTCCGTGCCGGCAAATTGGATCCTGAGGAGGTTCTGCATGGGTTGCATCAACGAGTAGGTGAGCCACTGTGTTAGTTTGTGGAAAGGTAATATGGACTCCCAGGGCGCTGTGCCCGTTTGGGAGTTGGGGAAAGGGGAGAGGCCGGGAGAGGTGGGCGCCGGAGTGTGTTGCGGCATCGAGGAGCAGGGCCAGGCGTCGCCGAGCGAGATGCCGTCAATAGCCGTTCGTGATGCCGGCCAGATAGGGGCGAGGCCGGACATGAGCGCGTTCCAGAGCACGGGAATGACTACAATGGGTGTCGAAGAAGCTTGCGTCGTCGGGTGGGCGAGGAGGTAGTCTGCGCATTCATCGTCCAGTCAGACAAAGTTCATTTGCTGAATATTGCACACAAAGGGGGTAGCAGGTCTTATGAGACAAAACCACATACCGATTAAATTGCCCGGCCGTCCATCATCGCCGAATAACTCTGTCTTGTCTGACAGCGCATTACCGAGTCGGATTAGGAGCTGCGCTCTGCCCTCTAGACCAGCGATCTCGTTGCCCGGGCGCGACTGCATGCCCTTAGCCAATTGCTCGACTGTGAGGTCTCGGAGACCATTTTTGTCCACTTGAAATTTGTTGTTAGGATTTCCAGAGAATAGCCCCTATTGAAGACGCAAAAGTCAGCGCGAACCCCTTGATCGAAAAATTTTACTCTGTATATAGGTAATGAACGTCACTCCTTTGTTATGCGCGCGACACGTACGGTTTTGAACATTTCTAAACTCGCAATGGCCAGTCCCTCCGATCTCCTGTAGACGCGGCCATTCTCGGCGCTCTTGAAGCTCCAGGAAGTACCGGCGCCGGCGTCGAGCAGGACGCTGACGAGGAAGAGGTCGATCAGGCTACGACACTTCTCGGTGCTGTCGATATTCTGGGGAAAGGTGGCGAGCAGGTTTGCGACTCGATCCCGACCGCCGACGCAGAAGTGTTGATACCGGCCGTGGGGCGGGATGGAGGTAAACGGCGGGTCGAAGTCTCGCTATTATTCCCAGTCAGCGATCCTATAATATACTAGTGTGTATTAAACTGGGGTTGATTCGGCAAATTCAGACCTTGATGATGCCGCATACGAATGAGACTACGTCGGGAAACTTGGCCATATCAACATCGAAGTGGTTCAGGGTGTTACGCAAGGCTTTGTCGGTTACGATCTTGGACCGTTCGCGAACAGATCCTAGACTCCTAAGGTAGCCGGCTGCATCAAGAGACGGATCTGGCGGCTTAGGTAGGTTGACCCGAGGCATGAGGTGTGGTGTCATGGGGGTCAAGGGCGTTTGAGGCATACTGCTAGCCGACGTGCGATTCGTATTATGGTGAATCTGGATTCGTGAGTTTCCCGTCGACGAGCTTCTCATGTTGGACCCTTCCGAGTTGAGGCTGGCCGAATCGTTCCCTGGACCAAACCCACCACCGCCACCACCTCCTCCTCCTCCATCTCCGAGTGTAGTGGCCTTTACTTGTTTGGAAGTTCTAGACCTTCGAGAAAAGAGACCCATGTTGTAAGGATGGATGTATGATATGAATGTAATATGTATGTAAGTCTAATTGCTTTTTTGTCTTTTTTTTTCTTCTTTTTTTCTTTTCCTTTCTTGTTTGGGATGCCCTCTTTCTTGTTTCTCATGCGTGTCCCGAATGCCCTTTTTTCCCTTTTCTGACTGTTCTTAAAAATTTTTGTCTTAGGTAGGTAGTATCTGGTTGGCTACCTAGGTAAGATGGCCGGTTTTGGTATTAGAACAGACCGAGCATTCGACCCGATCAAGCAATCAGATCGATCAGATCAGCAAAGAAGTAACGGGGAGGGGTAGGTACCCATTGCTATCCCATGCTATTCCACGTTATCCCATGTTATCCCATGCTATCCCATGCTATCCCATGCTATCCATGGTCGCTATGGTCTTATGTGAACTACCCTTTACCTAGGTATCACCTAGGGTATGGACTAGGTTAAAACTAGGTACTGGTAAAGGGGGAGGGGCGCTTCTTATTCGCATTTGGCAGGTCTACCCATTTAATATGTCTAAATGGTACATAAGGTTATCTAGACAGAACAATCGGACAGCTTCCAGCTCTATGTAGAAGTGGGGAATAATTGAATGTGGGGAAGAGGGAAAGAAAACATTTAAGAAAAAAATAAGATAAAAAACTCAGGGGGGAGGAAATCTGCCTGAATACCTACCTAGGTAAGTGCACACTACCTTACTTGACTACACGTGTACCTACATTAGAGCATCTGGGCATAATAATTGTAGTAATATACGGTATCCGCACCAAGATTATTTTCCTTGGTTTATTAATTATTCACTTAGCTAAGTATGTCTATGTCCTTGAACCAAAGACAAAATATGGCCGAGTAATAACTCCCTTTAAAAGCCATGTAGGTACGGCGTACATACATACACATGTAGCAAGTCGTATGGGACATATTGATATTTCAACAACCGATAGATCAGATAGGCTGATAGGTAAGGTGTACCAATGATGTACCTAGCTAGGGGGTTGAAGATCTAGAACGGGGGTTAGCGATAATGAACTGGCCACCAACGCCATTTTAGCCCCCATCTTTCCGTCTTTGGTTTTTCTTTGGTGTCAATGAAGATAGGTAATTGAGTTAGCTTAGGTATGGTGCAGTTGTTGCCCAGGTGCTAGGTATTGTTTGAACAACCTTGGAGTACCTAGGTATATTACGTAGCTTCGACCTTTATGAATATGGATAAAGTGTGTATATCCCGAGCGCTATTTTTCCCTAGTGAACGGAATCTCTAGTTCTCGAGTGCCCATATTACAGCGATTAACCCTCATCAGGAGATCGATCCAACGGTGGAGCAACAAATTGCTAGGGTCCAAGGATTCATCAGGATCATCAGGAACCGCCGAACCGGGGACGGGGAAAGACAGGGGTATCCAGTACTAAGTTCGCCAGGGGCAAGGAAGCCAACTAAGGGACCCGACTGAACTATTATTCTGATTTGTTTCCCACCCCTCGGATCGCTGTAGGCAAATGTTCTAGGCTATTTATTAGGTTGGGTAGTTCTAGTACAATTATTACATATTACAAGAGATACAGAACCAACAAGTCTTGACCATTTTATCTACATGTATGTAGTAGGGGTTGATGAAAATATATGTCAACCTAAGAAGGCGATCTTTCTACCAAGAACCAATTTCGCAGATCCAATTCAATAATACCCAAAACCACTCTTCCCTTCCAAGAATTTATAAATTTAGGTACATTTTGAGGTTATGTATGAATTACCCTCCTATGGACATTTACGTTACGGTGGGATCCTTTGATAATGCCCATTCAATAGCGTGCCTCCTATAATCCTGCTTAGCAACCCAAGTGACATTTCAGTAGATAGACGGGATGTAGGCCTGCCGCATCATGTTACCTACCGTGTGTCGTGTATTTCTGAATGTTTGCTGCATACCGGTAGACTAGGTAGACTAGCTGACTAACTAGATATTCAATATTGTGACCTGAGTTTACGTGCATGCATATGCTAACTAGGTAGGTTAGGTACTACCTATTGATAAAGTGTTATTAGATATACATTATGTACCTATCAAAGCGTCAATAGAAAAGCGCATGGTTTAATACGATAGTAAGGGGCGATCCCGTTATACAACATCAGTATTTACGGATGCTTACATTCCCGACAACGTTTTGTATTGTACCTCTATTATCGTCCAGCATAATACACCTAACTAGGGTATGCACGCACGCAGTTCCAATTTCAAACTAAAGAACCCATCAATAAATGTTTGCGCCGAACGCGTCTAAGTATAATGATACCTTGCTCCCCGCGCTTTAATCGGTGCCAGTGGACAAGAGCGGTTCTTGATGGATAGAGCGATATAATCACCACCGCCCTGCGCCAAAGCCCCCTATACTCCACAGTAGGTCCGAATTTCTACATATACTAACCTCAAAAATGCATTGCCATCTCATCCCAAGTGATCGCCGACCAGCATCATAGGGGTTTCGTGGGTTTCGTGGTGTAGTTGGGTTATCACGTCAGTCTAACACACTGAAGGTCTCCAGTTCGAACCTGGACGAAATCATTACATTTTTGCAATTTCTGCAATTTCTGTCTTCGAGAATTCGTAACCCCAAACTGGGCGCATTCATCGATGTTTATCGGTATTCGAGATTATGCCATCCACGTTTTTAGCCCCAGAATTACCTGGAGGGGCGTATAAGGACGTCAGCAGGAACATCAACGTCCTTAATTGGACGGTAAATCTGAGTAATGGGTATAAGATAATTGCAGATAATATATCAAAGGGGCACCCATGAGAAACTGTTCCTATATTAGAATATGAGATCTTACCAGGTAGCTATCAACAAGTTGCGGGGGAGAGCGATACGTAGCAAAACAGGTTCGGACCCATCCATCTCGGATAATTTAATATATATACCTACATATGTATACCTAACTAGTACTAGTAGATCTAAACCGGACGATTCTCTTCTTGGGATAGTTTATACTAGGTTAAAACGTTGTCAGCTCCAGATATCCTACCGGTAGGTATAACACTTGCTCAAAGAGTTCTTATGTATCTACATACCTACATACCTCTTACATACCTACATATTATAAACTTGATGCGAACAATTTTCCAAATGACGATAGATCAGAGATATCGGTTACGCTGGTCCCATTACCGATGGCGATGTCTCATTTCATGCAAGGGACAATGCAACAAACAAACTCTAAATCTATATCCAGTCATGTTTCCGAAGGCGAGCTAGCTATATATAATATAGTACCAACCTACACACATGTAGGTATCTGTAACGCCACACGGGATCGGACCAGAGACGGAAGTCCCAGTGTTACCCCTTAACCAACTTGGCATATAGAAATTGATATGCACACCAACTTCGTACATACCCGTTCTTAAAACACGTGGGGAGAAACATAGCCAACTCAGCCAACTCACGAGAAACATGTGATCGTGCCGAGCCTACTCAAAAGTTCATGTAGAATTATGTAACGTACCCAGTTCATCTTGTTCAATGGAGATATATCCATTTGCGAACATGATCGAGCTCTGCAAATGTAAGTAGTTCTTGAGCTAACTCTGAACTCTACTATATACAAGATTCGTCGACGAGCTCCTTATCATCGCTTAGCTACTGGCCTGGTTCTCCCATATGTGGATGTAACGATGATCGATGTACAATACCTCATGCGTATAGCTCAAACGTCCAAGACGTCGAAACCTACGGCAAGTACCTTTTACAACTTGGTCAGCATGTTAAACAAACAACAATCAAGTAATATGCAACTAATTGCCCAGCATAGGACCCAGTTAGTCATTGTCTACCGGGCTTAAGATCTTTTGATATGCTTTGCCAAAGACAGCAACGACAACAAGCAAGATTTGACCTCGCATGAAGTTATAGAAATTCTTATGAGATAGGGGTATCTCGAAGATACTGAGTCAAACGCTTTGATAAATTGTCGAGCATTATTTTTTTGTCTTTGGGTTCTGAATGATTTGGTCGGCATTTTAGACAATAGATTCGTACCGCTGACTTTGGTCATGATAGCGACTTGACGGAAAGATCATATGTGACTTATAGTTTGGCATAGATACCTAGTCTAATATAGTTGCGCGAGGGATTTTACACCCGACTAACCTACCTAGATGATCACGGGTATACCGAACAGGAACTCTCTTTGTCAGTCATGTCTCTGCTACAGTCGATTAGACCTTCGGCAGTATAATTCTAACTTGTTGTTCAAATTGATAACTTTCAGTAGTTATAACGTAACATAACGTATATTTCTATTAATACTTTGAATTTAATTACTTGAAATAACAACTATTTTAACAAAGAACCTATTGGTAAAACTTAATATGCATAAGAGTTATAATGACGAAACAACTTACACCTTTGCTTATCGTTGTTAGTTCTTTTGAACATTTTAACCTACAATTCCTTGAGGATAGCTAGCCTTCATTTGCAATCATCACATTCGAGGGTATAATTAGGAGTTTACTAGTATTAGAAGTTATGTCTTTGACTCCTCATGAATACTACAACCTTTATTAAGTAAATACATAAAAAATAGGTAATACGCAACGACTCAACTCCTGAAAGTGTCCATTAATATTAGGTTACACTTTTTCGAACTTTCACATATATTTTTCAATGCATGAATATGTTCGTTATGATGAGTAATAATGGCTTTTGAAGCTTTTAAAGATAAATAGTTGATATATTACTTGGACAAGTTGAACTTACCTAAACTGCAACCCATATGATAAGAGTCTTTATGACAATATGATGTTTAGTCCTAATACGGATGGCCTAAACACATTTACATTGAAATTCTTGCTACCAACGTAAACATCATAAATCGTTGATGTGTTCTTGTCTTGTTAAACTTGAAAACCCGGAAAAGCTGTAATTAGTCGGAGTTTAAGCAACTTCCTCTAAGTACAATCTTATGGAAAAGAAAAACCGTGTAGCTTTTATTCATGATATGATATAATTAAAGTTAATAACTGTACATGTTCAATGTCGATTCCTTCCTGATTCCGGTCACTATATAGTTAATTACTGACCGAAAGTTTATATCGATGTAGACTCCTGTTGGATTCGCACCACGAACCACTCACGGGAGAGATCGTCTTTTCGCATAAGCTTCACGAACTATTACTTAACTAGACCAAGAACGGCCACGATCCTATATATTGACAGATCCCATGAGTAAAAAGAAACGAAAAGGATTGGTGTCAGCTGATAATAATGTAAATTTGTCACTTAATTTCGGGTCGTTGAAAGTACAGTTCAAAAATTGTGTAGCTAAAACTCGTAAACCGTCCGCTCGGGTTGAGCTGGTGATTACTCCTTTGCAGCTGAGATTATTAAATTCTAGATCTAAGAATTGGGAAGGGCTCTTCCAAGATCGCATACAACACTCAAACCTTAAAGTAATTTTGCATATAATGCAATGGTACGTGGCGATATTCTTCGGTTCTTCGGAGTGCCACAAGACTTAAGATATTAAGACTCCCCGGTATAATGTGAAAACTCGATTGGTTGGTATAGCTGACCGCATACGCCAAAGAGCATATACTAAGCTTTGATTGATTTTTCATTGGCCAATTTGTATAGGATGGAACGATAAGAATCCCCTGGTTGACTGTAAACTTGCTGGTCGTACTGCATGCTAATGCGTGTCAGCACCGTTGAAGGATTCTTAAAGAAACCCAAGGCGGGTTCTCATATGATCTGATTAGCGCCGGCATTCGCTGGGAATGATATCCATATTTTGCATTTTTACTGCTTCTCTAATATCTCAGCTTTAGGTAAGATCTTCTTATATGGTGACTCCGAAACCCATAAAATGATTATGGTAGTATGGATATTACTATCCAGCTACTCAGTTACTGTATCTTCATGAATCAAATGAATGCGTAGCCTAAACGTTGTTTTACACCCGATCTTCTTGATTCGCCTCTCAAGCGTCAGCCAAAACTGATATGCTACAGCTAAATCTGCATTGAGGGGTTACGTGGAAAAAATAAAACGGGTTGAGGCAATTCAAATCCCCACTCACATACCTAGGTGATCCCAAAATACTACCTAAGGAGCCAGTAAAGGAGGGAAGATATGGGATGTTAAAAATGAAGCTTCATAGACCAAAGGGAAAAGAAGGAAAAATAGGAGAGGCTAGGAGGGAAACATGGAGAATAATAAAAAACAAGATTCTTTAGCGAATTCCTTGGTTATGTTTACAACACCTATGTAGGTAAGTCACTGGTGGAAAGTAAGGTGTTATTGTGGGATTTGTATTGGTGGCACAGTGGCACCCATCTCGGCCATCACCTGCCCCTTTGGTAGGGCTGTATGTTGTAAGATGCGGCCATATGCGTAAGAGGATATTTATAATGCATGAACCCCACGTCCAGTAACTCGGGGCTTAGATAGCAGACATGTGTAATGGTAGTAGATATTTCCTTGGCTGGTGAACGTCAGCACTTCTCGAGTTTATAGAGTGAGTTTTCACTACTAGATAGCTCGAATTCGTTCTCGCTACCCTCGCCGCCGCCCTTCTCCCCTCCCCTCCCTCGTCAGTTTGCGCGGCGCGCAAAGGCACCCCGTCAAAATGGGTGTCATCCAAGACATCGCGGATAATTACTCCCAAGGTCAGATGATTGGCCTTGGGATCGCCTTCATGATATTACCTATTGTCGCTGTCGCCTTGCGATTATGGGCCAAGGTCCTCGGGAAAGGTATCAAGATGGACGACTATCTTGTTATTGCCGCAATGGTACGTTCATTCCATTGCATTACAGTCGAAAACGAATGGCTGATCATTGCAGGCTATTTCCATCGGTTGCGCTGCGGTGCAGCTGATTGCTGCCGTTGATGGTCAACTTGGCCAACACCAGTCCACTGGACCCAACGGGCAGCCGCTCCTCAACGATCCTCGATTCGTCACTTATGAGAAGGTATGCCACGAACTAGCTTCCAAGAAAAATGGAAGAACGGTGCCAACTTTCTGTAGTGCAAGCTCGCGGTCAACATCCTCTCCACTGTCGGCCTCGGATTCGTGAAGTCGTCCATCTTAGTCTTCTACATGAACATTTTCTATGGAAAGCCGTTCAAGATCGCCTCTCAGGTCGTGCTTGGTCTTGTCGTCTCCTGGACGGTCTCGTTCTTCTTCGCGAACCTTTTCACCTGCTATCCAATCAGTCCGTTCATCGAGGCCTTTTATCACAATAGCTGCGTGAACGGGCTTGCGCTGTGGTATGGCATGGCTATTTCGGATATAATCATAGATGTGATCATCCTCGTGATGCCAATCCCGATGGTTCTGCAGCTGCAGCTACCGTGGAAGCAGAAGCTCGGTGTCCTGGTTATGTTCCTTCTTGGTGCAACGTGGGTTTTTATTTCACGTCGTTGGTTGGTGCGATCTGCTGACCGTGACACAGAGTATGCGCGTTCAGCCTTACCCGTGCCCTCATCTACGTCCATGTCGGTGACAGCCTGGCTCTCCACTTCAATGATGAGACTTGTACGACCCCCTTTTCATGACATG